TCCTGCAGCAATGGAAGTATCTGGGCATGGATAGTCATGCAAAATTTGTGGTAACTGATAAACTTGTTGAGCGAGTGCAGGTCCATAATCGGTCGAAGCCCAGTCCTTCTTCAGTACTGGGAGTACAAACCATATCCCTGGGATTCTGGAGGGACTGGCTCTATGGCCCTCTTGAGAAGGAGGGATTATACTTTGTCTATTAGGGTTGGTGACGGAGGGGTGATGATGACCCCCATAGGGGGAGGAAGATGAGTGAATTCTATTGCATACCCCCGGAAGATAATAGACAGCACCTAGGTATCCGTTGTTATGTGTCTCCAAGCCATAAGGTGTTGGAGGAGATGGATGTTGGTGGAGTGGGAAGCAGGAGGCGGGGTGTAGGTGCTGATAGTGGCTGAGTCAAAGGCTCTGCTTAGGGGTCCATGGAGTCTTGGACCTAGTAGGTTGCTGTGAGGTCTGGAATTTGGGTTTGGAATTGTAAGGCACTCTTCTACTCAGCTGTTGATGCCTCAGTCTTCAGGACTGATCTGGTGATGGTCTGTTGGATGATCTACGTGTCCAGGATCTGGACTAAGAGTTGGAGTTATACGACCTAGTGGAAGTAGTGATGCTCAGGTTCCTTGAGGTCTTCATGCTTTTATCCATGCCGTGAAGAACTGTGTCGGTCGTGGCATGGAAGAGACTGGCACCATCAAAGGGTAGGTCTTCTGGTGTCTGGGTTCAATGCTGTGGACCTGAGCCAGGAATGTCATCTGAGTGTCACAGCAGAGGTGAGAGTCTTAGCAAACATTTCCAGCACATGTTTAGTGGAGTTAAGCTGTTGCTTGGCGAGCAACATGCCCTCTTTTTGTATCTTCCTGGCTGTGGTCTTCTTGTCAGCCGGGAAGCCGGCAATGGTCTCGGACATCTGCTCCCATAAGGAGTATTGGTAGTGGCTCATGCAAGCCAAGTAATTGGCATTCTTGATTCCTAAAGTTGCCATGGAGTAGAAATGTCTGCCAAATGCATCCAGTTTCTTCCCTTCTTTGTTGGAAGGGGCGGAATGTGTATGCTTACTTCTAGAGGAGGAATTTACCACCAGAGAGTTAGGCTTGGGATGTGAGAAAAGGAATTCTGCTCCCGGTTCTTGGACCTTATACATGTGGTCCAGTCGTCTCAAGGAGATGGGTGTAGATGCTGGCTTGTCCCATGGCTGTTTCGCAGCTTGGAGCATAATTGTGGTCATGGGGAGTGCCACAGCCATCGATGTGTCGAGCTGGACAATATCGAAGACTGTATCAGTCTCATCTGGATGTGACTGGACAATGTAGAGACCTAAGGAGTGTGCCATTCTTTTGACAAGGTCACCATATGACTTCAAATCCTCAAATGGAGAGACGGGTAAGTCATTGGCAGTATTAGTAGGAGGTGATGGTTCCGACTCTGGGGTATGATGGACCGAATCATCGTCGTCCGAGTCCCCTCCCCGAACGCTGTGATCAGATTCGGAAATATCAGATTTGAGCTGTACCAGGGGTCACGGGAGTTTTGTTCTTATTGGCAGTAGACATCAATGGTCCCATCGCTATCAATGAGGTTTGTCCCGTCAGTTTCAGTATGGACTTCTGTCGGTGTCGAGGTGCCAGTATTGGAATATCAACCGTATTTTGGGGCGCTGACCACATTGGTGACCTGGAGCAATATGAAAGTGTGGAACAGTGGTCCCAATCTGGTGGTCCTCACATCTGGAGCCATGGGAAAGGTGGAGGGTATGCGCCATAAAATTGGAGTTGCCTCTGATCCCATGGCAGTGTGGACTGCATATGCCATTGTTGGGGATCATGTATGGCACCCATCTCTCGATCCGGAGTGCTGCAGTACATGTCATCATGCACAGTCCTGGATCGATGGCAATGGGGGCAGGCAGGTGCCAGCAGTGGAGAGCTGTTTCTGCTCATCAATCCCGACAAGGAAGAATGGCAGTAACTCCGTTGAGTAAGATCAATTTTGTTGACCACAGACTCCGATAAGCTGAGAGGTTGCTACGCACTATGGTGTAGTTTCACTACCAGGGAGTTCACCCGATCCATCTGTTGTTGAGTCGGTGCTGACTGGATGGAGATCAGGTCCGGTGCTCTCGGCGCTGTCTCTGCCTCTATAAGGTGATGCATTTGGTCCTGCGCAGGGCTCACAGCCTGAAGTTGTAGACCAGGGCGTGTCTCTTTGCCCTTGTGTGACCCATGGACCTTCTCCTTTTTGTGTTTCTTCACAGGAGTGTCCAATGTCATGGCTGAGCCCAGACTCTTCGACAATGATGTCCTGGTGTCGGGTAGGGTCAATGTCAATGGCTTTGATGGGGTAGAGTGATGGGCTGGGGTCAGAGGCTGATCGGTCGATCCCTTGGTCGATGTGGACTTAATGGCCATTTTGGGTGGGGCCAGGGCCGACTCCAAGAGCACGGCTTGCAATCAAGCGGCTGTTTTTCTGGTTTGCCTTGAAAATTTAGCACAGTGGGGGCAAGTGTTCATCCTATGGGCCTCACCTAGACACAGCAAACACAGGGAGTGGCCATCTGTTGGAGCAAGCTTGCTCCCGCAACAGGAACACCGTATAAAGAATCCCCACATAGACCATGGAAGAAGGAGAGGAAAGAGTTCGTTTGTAGTGGAAAGAGAATGGGGCTCCTGGGCATGCACAGGGAGGGGGCGCAAAAGATCCTCTAGGAGCTTTGAAGTCAGCGCTTGGGGTCAGCGCAGGTGCCTGGAGTCCCAAGGGTATGATGCACAGAGACCATGAGGAAGTTCTACAGAAATTCAGCAGCATCAAGCACTCCCAAACCACTGGATTAATCTACATCTAAGAGCAGTTATCAGATATAGTTAAAATGGTCAGTTTACTTTCCATTTTGTTTGTTTTTTCTTCCATGGCATAAAAGTCAGCTTTGCCAATAGAGTCTGAGTGGCATGTAATGGTTTCTGTCAGTCTAAGATCTGTGAGACCCAGGTTTGAATCTCCTCTGCCACTGAAGTTTGTTAAGTGACCTTGGACCAGACACACACTCTTAACCTAACTTACCTCACAGAATGGTTGTGAGGAAAGAACAGAGGAGAAGAGAACAATGGAAGCTGCATTCGGAAGCAAGATGAGGCAGAAATCGAATAAATAAATAGGATGCTATGCCTTTCCTATATTGTAAATCCACCACTGTATACAATTAGGTTAGTGAAGGAATCAACATTGGCCATGTAAAATACATCCAACTGGAACTGAAGCCAACAAAAAAGGAGGATTAAAGGTCAGGAAAAACTATCTTAATATCCATGTATAGTGAGAAAATCAGGATAAGAACAGTTTTCCAGTAAAACTGTATTGTTCCACTTAAGACTCAAATATCTACTAGTCTTCCTATCAATAAAGTTAGGGTAAAGTTTTCTGTGGCTAGATTCAATCCTAATTACAGGTGAGAGAAACAATGAGCCCTTAAGAGGACAAGAGTGGAAGTAGAACAGTAACATCTGCTGCATACTATTCCACCACTACGGGGGGGGGGGGGCATATTGTGCCAACTGCACTATTTTTGTATTCACAGAATGTATAGGCCTATAAGAAAAATAATTCACATACCCAAAAGTCAGAAGCAATGGTCTGTAGATAATGGAAGTACTTCAGACTTCTACACTCTTAGCACTCTCCACTGACTTTGATGTTACCAGAGTAGAAGCTATGAGCCTGTTAAAGATAATATTCTCCCCCAGATTGTATTCAGGGAATAATCAGAAGTGAGCTATGGCCTCACACACTCCTCCCCAGCTTCCCTCATATTTAAGAGATAATATATTTAACATATTTAAGGTTGTCAACTCTTGGAGAAGGCATAAATCAGACAAGAGGTGGGCCCCACCTAGGTGCAGAATGAAGCCCAGGACAGCCCAGGGCCTCCTCACACAGATACAGTATCCATGGGGTCAAAGGGGAAGTTCAGTGGGGTCAGGGGATGACCACATATGCTCAGGGATAAAGCTAAGGGTGCAGCAAAGAGGTCTAGGGGCACAGTCAAAAGAAAATGCTAAGGTGTACAACTAAGGTTCACATCTTCCTCTGACTGGGAAAATAACAGAAAGGAAAAGGAAACAGAAAAGACAACAAAAGCCTCAATATTTAGTGCTTTTCAAGCACAGAAAAATCAGGGTAGAAAACAAAAACCTTTCTTTTTTAACTGAACTTGAAAGTTAAAACTGGCTGCAAGCCTAATGCTTAAATGAACAGCACAGCAAATTCCTTTTGCCATAAAGGCACTAAATGATTTAAAAAACAGTTCCCTATTCTCCCCATTATATGACAAAGCCTCACCTGCCAACTCACCAGACGGGGAAAGTGTAGCCATGTGAGTGAAAAACTGGCTAGTTGGCCATCCTACTCATACTAGGAAGAAGTGACAGACTGAAGGGGGAAGTCCTATGTTCAAAATGTCCCTTACTCTGGGAGGTAACCTTACTCTTTAGTTGATGAAGATGTATTTTATATAAATAATAATAAAAAATTGGCAAAAAATAGCAGGAAAGTACTGTGAAATATTCCCTAGAGCAGTCTTAATGTATGGATGAATCAAGAGTAGTCCTTGAATTTCCATCAGAGACTTTTCTTGGACCTAAGGTTCTCACCCTTCTATTTTCAATCATCACATTTGTGGTTTTTCCTTTTGATGTCATATCTAGAGAGTTGTATGTGAAAAATAAATGAAGGTATGTTGTTCTCTTTAGAAACTCAAGCTTTACTTACAAATGTGTTCAATAATTAACCTTCATAAAATAATTATTCTCCTACAAGAACTATTGAAATGCAAAATGTAAAATTATTTATAAGCATGTGCTAATGTTAAACCATAAATGAAAATCCCTAAAAGTGTTGGCCACAGTAGCAATATAGTTTCAATATGTAAAATATTTTTAATGTTCACATAGCGCCCTGTAATAAAATGAAAGATGATTATCTACAAAGTACACAGTAAAATCCAGACATACCTCAGGAGCCAAATACTCTGGTGTTCCACAGAATGTTTTCATAGTAGCTGCATCTGTGATCCCTTCTTTGCAAAGTCCAAAATCTGTAATTTTTATGTGTCCATCTTTATCCAACATTAGATTCTCTAACTGCATTTTACAAATACACAAAATTGGTCTTTTAACATTTCTAAAAAAGAACAAGTACTGCTTTTTAAAGACTTTTGTGGTATTTATTATTGCACTTTTGTTGTCATTTAATGTAGTTCTGTAATTGATATTTATGTAGCCACATGATGCCTGAAAATCATACGATTTGTATGGAAAACATCCCCATTAAGAACCATAGTTAAGATAAACAGATCTAAATTCACCTTGGGGGGAAAAGATTCAATAATAATCACAGAAACAGATGAATGAGAGGCTGTCCAGAGAAAACTCTTCCTACTCATGTCTAACATGCAAAAGAGAAAGCAATGCAAGCAGTGACCTATAGGCTTCTTAAGCCCTCAGTGTTGTCAGTAGAACCAAATAAGCACGCTCATTTGCTAAAAGGTAAAAGGGGCAGGAGAAAGGAAGATGTAAAGCCAGCTGCTGGTTAGGGTGGGCCAAGCCCACAAAGTTGACAGTCTGATTAAATTGTCCATTGAAATAAAACTAAAATTCCTTGGCATTTGTGATTTGGATACCGGGACCACCTTTGTTTGCAAAAGTTATGACACACAGAACTGAATGTCCCTGAGCTATGTACAAAGTTCCTTTTCACAGAGAGAGAAATATTTTTTTTAAGAAGCTGAAGGAGAATGGACATTTTGTTCACTCACTCACCATAAAAGTTCCTTTCTCAGTGGTTCCAGGGTGGAGCAGTCATAACCAACAGGAAGAAGCTCCTCCCTGGGGACAGTCGGGGGCACTAACTTTTCTGATGACACCTAGAGGGAGGGGCTTCTTCCTCAGTTTCTCAGACTGGTTCAGAACCTGTGCACCTCCCAATCACTATAAAACATATACTAAAACTCCAACAGCCAACAATTAAAAACACAGTAGTGAGAGAACTGAAGTAAACAACAGCTGTACTCCAAGACTCTAGCAATAGGGAGGAACTCTGACAATTTTATTTATTTATCTTTGGATTTATATCCCGTCCTACCCAGAAGACAATAGAGAGGGACTGACTATAGCACCCTAGGACCACTGAGGAGGAACTTCACGGTAAGCGAACAAACTTTCCATTCTCCAATGGTCCAGGGTGGGGCAGTCACAACCAATGGGATGTACAAAACCAATGTATCCCAGGGCAGGCTAAATGAAATCAAACCTGTCAGAGCTTGCTGAAGGACCCTCCTCCCAAAGGAAAATGCTTCCATGTCAGTGTGGTAATGCTGGGTTAAAGTATGCACAGACTTCAATGTAGCTGCCTGGCAGACCACCTTGTAAAGAAGGAAAAGCCCTGTATGCAGCAGAGGTAGCTGTTCCTCTAAAATAATGAGCCATTACCTGCATCTTGGGTTCCAACTGCCCAGACTTTTAGGACAGTGCAGTACAACCACCTTCCTATGGTGACACCAAAACCCTAGAACTCATAAAGGACATTCTAAAGGAGGAAAATTGGGGATCAGACTCCCTCAGAGCCTTAGTCCTATTAATACAAAAAACTCAAGGCCCTCTTGACACCCGAGTAATGCCACTTCTGCAGATGTTGGGACTAGGGCAAAAGGAGGGCAGAACAACCTCCAGCAGTTTCTGCAACTAGAAACTGTCATTGTGGAAGACACAAAGATCATTATCCAAAGGGAGAGTGTGAAGCTCAGAGAACCTAAGGGCTGATGTAATTCCCACTAAACAGACAGTTTTGAACATGAGTTCCTACAGTGGATACATCGTCAGGGGCTCAAAAGATGCCCTGGAGAGCACATTGAGAACTGCATCCCATGTGAGAAACCTATGAGCTACTGGGAGGTGCAGCAGAGTTGTCCCTCTAAGTAACTTCTTGATGTGTGGACAGGAAGAGAAGGCTCACCCTTCCTTAGCCCCCACTACTGCAGAAATGGCTACTACCTGTCATTCGAGAGTACTGGTGCTCAATTCTTTACCTTGCCCAATCTGGAGAAACCCCAAAGATCCTCAACCTGAGATCTGAGAGGATCAACAGATTTCTCCCCACTCCAGGAACAGAAAACTTGCCAAGTGTTATTATACACTCTGTTGGTGAATCTCCTTGCAGCTATCAGGGGATCAATCAGCATTTCCCCCTAAACTGCTTCCACTCAGCTTTCATGCTGTCAGCTTCAGCAGATCTGGTTGAGGATGAAGAATGGCCTCCTAAAAGAGATGATCCCTCCTGCACAGGAGTTGCCAGGGGACTGAGAACATCATCAAATCAGATCTTGGAATCACACCCAGTGAGACCAGAATGGGGCACCAGGACCAACTACTCTCTGTATCACCTTCTGAAGAAGGTATACTGCAGGAAAGGCATACAGTAGTTGGTCTGGCCACTGGCGGTTTAGAGCATCTATTCCCAATACTTGAGGACATTCGGTCCTGGAGAAAAACCTAGGGATTTGATTAATGTTCACTGATGCAAAAAATTACAAGTCCACTTTTCCAAACCTCTGGCAAATGGAATGATTCAGCTTCCACTCTGTCCGGTCCAGATTTCTTTGACTAAGCCAATCTGCCAAGATGTTGAAAAACCCTACCAAGTGGACAGCTTCGATGGAGACCAGAAGGTTCACCCACTTTAAAATCTAAGTTGCCCCTGAGTTTAGGGACTTTGATTTTGTGCCCCGTTGGCAGTTGACATAGGCCTTTGTCATCATATTGTTTGTGGGAATGATCATGTACTTTCCGAGCAATGAGTCTTGGAAGATAAGAAGGCCAAGGAAAATTGCTCTGAGTTCCAGGTGATTAATGCTCCACTTCATTTGTGCCAAGACCACATCCACTATGAGACCTTCCCCACTAAGTGAGCCTCCCTCCCCCAGACCAATATTAGTACGGTAGTGATAAAGGTTCTGGGTGGCTCCCTCAGGGTAGTTCCTATTTTTAAGCCTGCCCTGGGAGGTCTACCACCCAAGATCCCAGAGAAGCTGGTTTGGAAGTGGAATGGACAGTCTGGAAGGGCAGCAAGATATGTTGTAGGAGATGGGAATGAAGCCTGGCCTGCTCCACTAGCTCCTATCAGATAAGAATGCAGAGATTACACATTCAGTCGCTGAGTTTTGTGCATTAATTCTTAGATTGTGGGAATCACATTTTAAAAGTTCTTAAATTCAGATTTCTATTTTTGTATATTATGACTGGGTTTTCTTCCCTCTCCCTCACATGTTATGCTTACTCTGTATGTTGGTCTTAAGACCATAATAATAATAAACTAAACTAAAGCCTGGCCCAGGGAAACATGACAGGACACTAGCATGCTAAGGAGGCTTGCCAAGGACAGAACATTTGCCTGGGACTGATTTCTTAGACCAATGCCCAAATCTTGAGTTTTCATTCTCAGGACAGAAAAACCATGTCCAGAGGGGTATCTAGAACAAACCCCAGAAGGAGAATACACTGAGAAGGGATCAGGCAGCTTTTCTCCCAGATGATTAAAAAGCTGTGGGCCTGAAGGCAGGCCATGGTTCATTTCAAGACGGCCAGCCCTTGCTGGGAGGAGGAGGATCTGGTGAGAATGTAGTCCAGCTATGGAAAGATTAATGCACATAAACCATGGGTCCCCAACAGAGTCTCAAAAAATGCCCTGGAGGGAAACAAGTGCTTTTGTGAGGGGGAGGGGCATCTTCAATCCAAAGGGAAATGCCCAGTAGTGTCCTGCATCAGCAAAACAAAGTCATTTACGATGGGCCTGAAGAATCAGGATATGCTGGCAAGCTTATGCCAGGTCCATTGAAGTCAATAAATGTCCTCTTTTTGAGGCCCCTCCCACTCCTGCACTGTCAACCAGGACTCTACCATTCTTGTCCCTGTACTGCAAGGAGGCTCCCCAGGCCCTGTAAGTGTGGCTTGGTCCCACTAGCCAAGCAAGACTCCAATGCCCATCCTCCCCTGCCCTCACCCCACTCATCACCCCAGCTGGTGAGGCTGAGGAGTTTTCTTTCTTCCTTTTCTGGACTGAGAGGAGGGCTTGTCTGAACTTGCAAAGGAACTGGATTGCTGCCATTTGCTCTTAGCTCTGAAAGATCTGGATCTAGAAGTGGATCTGGAATCACAAAAGGGCTGGAACTCTTTTTGTCTTGCCTTCCTGCAACTTGGCAAGGCCCTCTTCTTGTCCTTGTCCTCCAGCAGGTATTTGTCTACTGAATTCCCAAAGAGGCTGATGCCTTTGAATGTCAGCTACCCAAGCCTGTTAAGTAGGAGCCCAGCTATGCAGCCAGCATTATGGCACACTGTGATGTCAGAGGCTATTGCCCTGGCGACAAGGGAGACATCTGCCATGAATACAGCTGTCAGGGCAATTTTCTTTAAATCTTCCTTCAGTTCTTTAGAGCTGTCCCTGTTGGCCACAGAGAGATCCAAAGCCCAGAGATAGATCACTCTAGCAAATAGAAGTCTGTGGAAGTCTAAAGGGCTGCGGAAGGAGCCTCAAAGTTGATTCTCTT